TTTTCTGAAGAAACACAACAAAAATCACAGGGTTCCACTTATTAATAATCTCTTGTGAAGTTACTTTCCCAGTACTTAATTTCCACTTACCTAGAAGGGTTTTTAGCTCACCTGGTCGAAAGGATCTTGGTGAGCTTATGCCATACCGCAGCGTCCTTTGTTTGTCTGTCCGTCCATCAACTTTTCCTTTAAAACGCTACTTGTACTAAACAGCCAAGTAGATTTTGACCAAATCCTTTGGGGGAAGGGGAACACATTTTGTATAAATGGTTGGTCCGACTCCCCTGGGGGCTGAGGGGTGGGGCCAAATAGGGAAAATATAGCAAATTCTTTAAAACCCTTCTTCTGTAGGAATGAAAAGATTTGTTCCATATTTGGTCTGAAGCGTCATTGGGTGAAGGAGAACCAATTTTGTATAAACCGTGGGTCTGTCCGCTCAGGGGCCTGAGGGGCAGGGTTCTGAATAGGGGAAACATAGCAAATTATTCATTGAAATCCTTCCTCTTCTGTAGGAATGAAAGGATTTGGTCCATATTTGGTCCGAAGCATCCTTAGGTGGAGAGGAACCAATTTTGTATAAACCGTGGCCTGGCTCCTCTGGGGCCTGAGGGGCGTGGCCCAATAGGGGAAACATTGCAAATTATTCTTTAAAATCCTTCTTCTTCTGTAGGAATGAAAGGATTTGGTCCATATTTGGTGTGGAGCATCCTTGGGTAAAGGGGAACCAATTTTGTAAAAACATTGGGTCTGGCCCCCCTGGGGGCTGAGTGGCGGTGCCATGTAGGGGAAATAGAGGTAAAACTTTTATAATCCTTCTTCTACCATAGGGATTAAGAGATTTTATCCTAATTTAGTCTGGAATATCCTTATAAAATTGAGGGTATAAAAAAAACCTTGGTACCCTCAATTTTTATAAGGTTTTAGAATGTGTATAAACACCGGATAAAAAGTGTTGCTGTTATTTACTGGTATGTATAGGTTTATTACTAACCGAAAGTATCCCGAAACCAATTGCCCCTGTGTGTTATATTCTTATGGCTTATGATACACATATTTGTACCAAACTTCAGCTAGATATTTGAAAAATTGACTGAGTTATGATAAATTGAATTTTTACCACCTGGCGTGGCACACGTGTGTATAGTCCGAATAATTCTGACATTTAATCAACTTTTTTGGCTCACCTGGTCCGAAGGACCATGGTGAACTTTGCCATACCGCAGAGTCCATGTTCGTCGTCCGTCAACATTTCCTTTAAAACACTACTAGTCAGGAACGGCTGAGTAGATTTTGACTAAATTTGGTCTGGAGCATCCTTAGGCCAAGGGACTCAATTTTGTATAAACCGTGGGTGTGGCCCCCATGGGGGCAGATGGGCGGGGCCCAATATGGAAAATAGAGGTAAAACCTTTAAAATCCTTCTTCTACTGTAGGGACTAAGGGATTCTATCCTAATTAAGTCTGGAGCATCCTTGGGCCAAGGGGACTCAATTTTGTATAAGCAGTGGGTGTGGTCCCCCAGGGGGCAGAAGGGTGGGGCCCCATAGGGGATATGGAGGTAAACCTTTAAAATCCTTCTTCTACCATAGGGATATAGGGATTTCTTCCGAATTTGGTCTGAAGGATCCTTTGGCAAAAGGGACTCAATTTTGTTTAAACAATGAGTGTGGCCCCCCTAGGGGTGGTGCCCCATAGGTGAAACATAGCAAATTCTTCAAAATCTTTCTTCTTCTGTAGGAATGACAGGATTTTGTCCAAATTCGGTATGAAGCATATCCTTGGCTGAAGGGGAACCAATGTTGTATAAACTGTGTGTCTGACCTCCTTGGGGAAAGAAAGGCGGGGCCCAATAAGGGATATAGAGGAATACATTTAATTTCCTTCTTCTTCCGTTAGGATGAAAGTGTTTTGACCAAATTTGAACAGTAGCATCCTATTTGGAAGGGAAATCAATTTTGTATAATTGGTGGGTTTGAACCCCCTGGAGGCAGAGGGGCAGGACCAAATAGGTAAAATAGAAAAATTGCTATAAAATCATTCTTCTTCTGTAGGAATGACAGAATTATGTCCATATTTGGTCTTAAAGCATCATTGGGTGAAGAGAACCTGATTTTGTATCAACGGTGGATCTGACCCATCTGGGGGCATAGGGGCGGAGCCCAATAGGGGAAACATAGCAAATTCTTCAAAATCTTCCTTTTCCTGTAGAAATGACAGGATTTTGTCTAATTCCATATAGATATATCCCCTGACTAACCATGTAATACATGTACACTACCAGCAACATCTAGCTATTCCAACATCAATTTTGCTAACATTTCCAGGTGAGCGATACAGGCCCCCTGGGCCTCTTGTTTTATATCGGTTAATCGACGCCAGACCGATATAAAAAAAAGTTGATAAAATGTCAGAATAATTTGGACTAATGTGGATAAAGAAATCCACTGATCGTGAAACGTCTTCAAACTATATCTCTAAAATTAATCTAAAAAGTAATCGACATCAGAAGATAGGGTATTCATATGACTAAAACACTTAATTGGATGCACAAAACCAATACAACAAAAAGTTAAAAGCTTTTAAGGGTGCGCCAGTTATAAATTACTTAGATTTGCTCAAGACAAATTAATATTAATGATTTCAGCTTCTGAAAAGAAATCCTACGTGTTCTCAGCTGCAGGGTTTTTAAATTACCTCCAATACAATACAGTCAAAACCTGCCATACTACATGTTATATAATTTTGTAAATTATATCTCGATGCGTAAGGCTATGAATGCAAATAACATGTTAAATCAGTGCTTGTCCTTGAAGTTGTTTACAAACCAACAACTCAAATATGTAAACACCTCACAAACGTGATATTTAAATGGTTTTTTTATCTTGACTGGACTTGATCTCTGAGGAAGTGTTGCGTCAATAGTCTAATGTAGGTGTTTGTGACCAGGTATCTCAATGGTCTATGATAAGTGTTTGTAAACAGGTATTTCAGTCTTCTATTATGAGAGTTTGTAACCAGGTATCTCAGTGGTCTATAATAAGTTTTTAGGTCACCTGAGACAAAGTCTCAAGTGATCTATTGCGATCGCCTTTTGTCCGTCGTTGTCCGTCGTCCGTCGTGTGTACGTAAACAATTTACATTTTCGACTTCTTCTCCAAAACCACTGAACCAATTTCAGTGAAATTTTGCAGGAACCTTCCATGGACAAAGGTCAACAAAAATAGTTGCCGGTTTAGTCCAGTTGAAGCCCCCAGAGGCTTGAGGGGCGGGGCCATAAATGGTCAAATTGACTAAAATTTCAAAAGTCTTCTTCTCAAGACCCAGATATGGTAGAATCAAATACTCTAAATGGATAGAAGGGTCTTAAGGAGCTTTACCAAAATTGTGAATTTCTTGACCCTTGGGTATCACGTTTCCCCCTGGGGAGGGGGTAAACTTAAATTTACTTTAGTTTATATAGGGAAATCACATTTTGGACCAACATTTGTTTAATTGCCATTGGAAGTAATTCAATTTAGGTTAGCATTATCAGTATTAGGTAGCAGTTTGATAGTATGCACATATCAGCCCTGACTGACCCCCCGGGGCTGATGGGTGGGGCCAAAAAGGGTCGAATTGACTGAAATTTCAAAAATCTTC